GTATTTGGGCTGCTAAGATAGTCCAGGTAGGATGGCTAGTTTTAATTGTTAACTTAGAGGTGCTGGAGAGATGACTCGGTGGTTGAATATGTACTGCTCTTGCAGAAGACTAGAGTTCAGTTCCCAGCACCCACCTTGGAAGGCTCATAACTGCCTATAACTCCAGCTCCAGCTCCAGGGGGACACCAGGCTTCTGTCCTCTGAGGCCACCTGCACCCATATGCACATACCCACACACATGATTAAAGATAAAAATAAATTGTTTGAAAAAGAAAAAGAAAATTGTCAACGACACCACAGAATCAGCTGGGAAGATTCTCAATGAAACATTTTCTGGATCGGGTTGGATTATAACTGATGTAGGGAGACACAGCCTGAATGTGAGCATCACCATTTCCTGGACTCCTGGACAAAAGGAGAAAGAGTTGAGCAGTAAACATACATGTGTTCTCTCTCTGCTCTCGGCTGTGGCTGCAAGGTGATCGACCACTTCAAGTTCCTGCTGCCTTGACCCCCAGCAATGATGAACTCTAACTTGGAATTTGAGCCAAATAGGTCCTTTCTCCCAGAAGCTGAGTTTGTCAGGGTGGTTTGTCACGTCACTAGGACACCAGGTAAACTCACTGTTGTTCTCAGAAGGGAAACTGAGCCATTCCTTCAGCACTCCTTGGAAATTTCTAAAGTTCTACAGCTAAATACGTTTATTTGGGGACTAGAGAAATGGCTCCACAGTTAAGAGCACTGGCTGCTCTTGCAGAGGACCTGGGTTTGGTTTCCAGGATCCACATGGCAGCTAACAATCTGTGGAATCCAATGCCCTCTTCAGGCCTCCATTGGCATTGCATGCACAGGTGCACTTACATACATGTATGCATACCATCATGCACATAAAGTAAAATAAATAAGTGGAAAAAATTTAATTAAAAACTAATATCTGCATTTGTAATTTACAAGGTGCTTTTTTTTCAACACCTTAGAACCAGTTCCACCTGGTTATACACCTATACCTATGTGTATACACCTACACCTATGTGTATATACCTACACCTATGTGTATACACCTATACCTATGTGTATACACTGGATCTCTGTGAACTCACACACATTGCCTCTCTTCTGGTTTCTTATAACATGGTCATTTCTTTCCCAGCCCTCTTTGGCAAAGTCCTTTGGAGTAGGTTGTATAGAAAGGGAGCTAAAGCCAAGTGTGGTGACACACTCCTTTAATCCCAGCACTTGGGAGGCAGAGGCAGGTGGATCTCTGTGAACTCAAGGCCAGCCTGGTCTACATAGCAAGTTCCTGGCCAGCTGGAGGTACAGGGAGACCTGTTTCAAAAAACAACAAAATACTATTAAGCTGTACCCCATATTTACATGATCAAGCACGGTCCCAGCATCCCTTCACTCCCAGGTACAAATGTCTCCATTAGTTCTCCATGGTCCTTAACAAGTGACCCCAGAACAGGTGGTTTGAGCCCTCACAACCCTCTCCCCAAGTTCCGTTGGCAAGTCTGAGATGGAGGGTCAGCAGGATCCCTTCCTTTACAGCTGTTCTAGTTTGTTTCCTGTTGCTGTGATAAACATCATGAGCAAAAGCACCTTGAGGACCCTCCACGTCACAGTTGATCACTGAGGGAAACCAAGGCAGGAAACTGGCAGCAGGAACTGAAGAAGAGACCATGGAACAACGCTGCTCACTGGCCCGCTCCCCTGGCCTGGTCAGCTACCTTTCTTACACAGACCAGGCCCACTTGCCCAGAAAAGGCACCACCCATTGTGGGCTGGGTCCTACTATATCAATCAGCAATCAAGAAAATGCCCCACAGACACGGCCACAGGCCAGGCTGATGGAGGAAATTCCTCAGTTGAGGTTTGTATTCTTCCCAGGTGTCTAGCTTGTGTGAACTTGACAAAACTCACCAGCACAAGAGGCTCAGGGGAGTCTGCTTCTGGCCCCCTGTGACTCCGCGTGGTTGGTGTCTCCCCACGACTACGACAGTCTGCCTTGTTTGCCCACAGCATTCCCTCCCATGTCTGTCTGTCCATTATCTATGTTAGTGCTCTTGTGATGGCATGTGGGGCCCACTTGCATGAATCAAGGAAATCTTTCCACCTTGAGATCCTTAATTTAGTCTGAAAAGACCCTTCCTCACCATAACTTGGCATTTGTTCTTTGTGAGATACAGTGACATTCACAAGTCCAGTAGATTAGGATGTGGACATGTGTTTGTAGGAACCAGAACTCAACCCATGAGGATGGACCAAAGGAGAGGGAACACTTCATGGCTCACCAGAGCTAATAGGTCTACTCGGTACATCAGCACCACATCCCAAGGGCCCCTTTCTTGCATGTTTCCAGAGGATTGGGCCACAAAGCAGGTTCTTAAAAGGGCACACAGAGAGGACTCCTGGAGGAAAAAGAAGTCATGGCATTTTGTAACTCACATGCATGACTGTCAACACACCCCTATAGTTCGCTTGAATGGTGGCTGACCTCCTACCCCTGTGTGGTCCACTTGCCTGGTTGCTGACCTCACACAGTCATCAGCCTGCTCATTCACCCTGCTGCTCACATGCACAGACTCAGACACATCAACTCATATTTAACTTTGCGGATCAGTAGTTGGAGGATTGTTTAGCCTCCCTGACCCCTGACCAAGAGTGTGTGTCCAGCCCCAACACAAGGACCCCTGACTTCTGCGGGGATATTATCCCTAACAGAAGGAGACACAGACTTCCGTGCACCCCCATGGACTCAGCCTCCTGTGGGCCTTGCTTCTTAATGACCTGTGTGTAGACATCAGGGTCCAGCATCAGATGAGGGGATAGCCTTGGAGAAGCTGCATAATTTGTACCCAAAATATGTAAGTCAACTCCCTGTACCACCACCAACAGAGCCATACATGTGTGCTTGTGTGAGCATGGTGTGTGTCTCTGTTGTATATGCTTAGTATTAGGGTTTCAAACCTCAGCAGCCCTCCCCCTCTCCAACAGGGTCTCACAGACTTTGGATTTCTCAAGCCCCTGAGAAAAGGGAACTGAGCTGATAAGCACCTTGGCCTTTGAAGTCAAGGGAAGCAGACTCTTCTAAGAGGCAGCCTGCCTTTCCTCTGATCTCCAAAGACAAGATAAGCAGATTCTGCCTGTTAACCAGAGATTTTAGGAGCTGCTTTAGTACAGAAGCTTTTCCCTTATCTTAAGATGACAAAAATAAACCCTTCCTGACCCAGATCCTGGCTGGCCGACGGAACAGAGCCGGGTTTACAAGCCCTGCTTTTCCTGCTTCCCCCACCTGATTTTTCTCCTAAAACTTCCCACCTTCTGCACCCTGAAGCCCCCTTATTTAAGCCCCAGCTCACAACCCATGGGCTGACATGTTCCCTTCCCCGAAGGGAACGTGTCCCGTGAGAAAAAAAACTCTAGCCCACTGAGAGTTTTACCTGTTCTTGGTGCTTTCTCCTCTATCCATTTGTTCTCTGGCAACGTTTTACCTATCACTTAGTATATGTAGAATGTGTGTGTGTGTGTATAATGCCTATACATACAATGTGTGTGCATGTGCACATAGTGTGCTTGTATGCATATAGTATTGCATAGTGTGGGCATATATAAGATGTATGTGCACAGTGTATTTGTAATATATGTAAAGTTTCATGAGTGTATATGCAGTGAGCACATTGTGGCAACTGTGTGTGTATATAAACGCAATGAGTGGGGGGGTGTGAATCCTTCCCATTTCCTGTTTTTTTTTCCCAATTACTTATTTCTTATTATCTTTATGTATGTGAGTGCATGTGAGGGAATGTAAGGGAAGTTGCCCTTCAGGACCAGAGGCACAGGTGACTGAGTCACTTAGTATGGGTGCTGGGAACCAAACTCCAGTACTCTGAAAGAGCAGAAGTCTCCCTTAACTGCTGCACTGTCTCTCCCACCCCTACTTCCTGTTTTTGTCTGGTCCCTGTCCCTCCCTGCTGTGGTTCTCACTGAGCCACGCTGACCCATTTTCAGCCTCCAGCTGACCCCACCTGCAAAGCTGTCTGGGGCCCTTCTCCAGTTTGAGGGTTCAGAATCCGTACCTGGCAGTGTCTCCGTGTCTGGCTGTCAGTTTGTTAGTGACACTGTGGGTTTCAGATCCAACTTCAGAACACTTACAATGTACCAAATGGGAAACGTTTCAGGCTTGTTTCTCCGCCTTCCATAACAAATTAATTCCTGTCCCAAATGCTCCAAGCGCACCCACCCCGTCAAGGCTTTGAGGGCTCTCAGTCCCTGCCTGGGATGAAGTCCTTTGCCCCTTCAACACTGAGCTCTCAGGCACTGAGCAAAGCTCCACAGAGCACCTTGTGCTCAATTTATCATCTCAGTTTCCAAATACCCAAGACTCTGAAGCAGTTGCTAAGTTTCCCCAGCCTCCCTGCTCCAGCCTCCCTACTTGGGTATGATGGGGGTGACTCCAGGGGTGGAAAGGCAGAAGGATGCTTTGCTCTTGGAACTAACAGACTCAGAGAAAGAATGATGCAGGAGGGGAGTGGGACTGGGCAAGGTGATGCTAATCAGTTACTAGAACAAAGAACCACATGGGAATGCGGGGGAGGCTGTTTATTGAAGGACGTTCATAGCAAGGGCACAGTGCCCACCCCACAGAGAGTCAGAAAGAATGGGGGCCAGAGATGGCTAAGTGGCGATGGGCCTGGCTGGGCCAACGCTTGGTGGAAAAGCATTTGCAGCTCCCTAGGAGCCACAGTCTGCCACCTATGTGAGGACTTGACTGAGCCCCTACATGAGGCCAGAGCCCAAGTGTCTCAGGGACTATGGAGAGGGAAGTGGAAGGAGAGTTGATCCACTGAGTGTGGAATGAGGAATGAGCGCCCAGGGAGGGGGATCCTTTTCCATACCAGAATCCTCCTTAGTCTGGAGAGACAACTTCAGCAACTGGAGGATGAAGACCCAGGAGTGAGCCCAGGAGACCTGGGCTGGAGGGAGGAGGGATGCAGGGCCACTGGAGGACTGTGACAGGAGCTCAGATCTTGCACTGGCAGCACACGGGGACACAGCAGCTGGATTGACAGCAACAGGGTTTGCAGCAGCTGGATTGACAGCAGCTGGGCTTACAACAGCTGGACTGGCAGCAGGAAGACCCACAGCCTGAAGAACAGCAGGGTTT